CTAATATCTCGAGCGTTCTCCAGAACTGGTGAATCATTCCGAGATTAATCAGAACGTCGAAATCAACTGCGTTACGGAGGAGACAGGCACAAGGAAGTCTATGAGTGAGCAGCAATACACAACCACAACTAGTGTAAGCATCGGTGTCCAACTTGTGCATCCTCGTAAGCTCAGCGTCCAATAAACTCAGACAGTAATGCGAGACCCTCAGTATCACGCTCGCGAAACGGATTCCCTTATACCGTGTATTCTTCTTAGATCTCGAGGCCTCAAGCGCCGTTCTGATAATACGTTACATAACGTTAGATTATAATTATTTAATGCAGTAATATAATAACGCATTTAAAAATTGCAGTACGTACTTGATTTCAGTCACTTGATTATCGATATGCTTATTAATCTTCTGTCAAACCGTATCGAGCGCGCCGGTGGACGTCTGAAGCCACTCCTTCAACACAGAGTGGGCACTCTCCACCCTACAGGAAGTTGTGTTTCCAAAATGTGTCACTCGGTTGGTCCAAGCCTTCACAAACTTCTCGCGGTGCACTAACCATGTGCCCTCCACATACCGTATCACCTCTGGATTGTTCGAATATTTTGCGCGCAGCTCGGCAACGGCATCGTTGTAGGCATCGAACGTACTGGCCTCTGCAATCGCCTTCCACGTACTGTGCGTGAAAATCTCCGAGAATTTTTTATTCTTCCCAAATAGGTGGTAGGTTCTGGCTTCCACATCCTTGTTGATGTGCCACGTGCAGAGTAAGTGGGCTGCTTCAGGAAAATGCCTCTGAATAGGAGTGAGTAGACCCAACTCTCTGTCACTGACAACAACATAAGGATATACGCTTTGGCCTATCAGTAGTCTCAACTTCTCTAGAACCCAATCGTAACTGGCCTCTTTCTCGTCCCTGATGAGGGCATACGCAATTAGGAAGTTCTGGTTGCACGGCGTTATCCCAATCATCTCGACCAACGGCATCTTGTACCTGTGCAAATGCGACCAAGAAGACAAAAATATAAGCACATAAAACTTAACTTAATCAAACACACTATTTAAGATTCATACTAATAAAGTATTTATAAAGTAACATACCTGTTGGTTTTATACGTGGAATCTATACCGACATACCAGTAATATGTCCGGAATAGATTGATCGACGCAGGATGGGCCATGAATATATGCGTCAACACTTTCGTGTTCGGATCGGATTCTACATAAACTGTATACTCGCTGCTCACGGCCAAATGCATAAGCTGAGAAGGAACGTCTCTACCGTCGGAACTCTCTCTCCGCAGCTTATCTCTAAAGTTATATACCTGTCACCGATTAGCGTTAATTATAATGATTATTATAATTTAAAACAAAAAATTTATTATATTAATAAATAAAAAAGTATATTAATGCGATTAATTTGATAAAAAAATTATTAACTATCACAATAATAATACATTAGTAAATATAATAAAATATATTAATTATTACAATAACTTTTACATATAAAAAATTACTAATTATCATAATTAACTTAAAAAAGTTAATTAAAACATATATTACAAGATATAAATAGATATACCTGCCGCACATGAACGTTGTCTCCCGGATTCTTTTCCTTCAGCGCGGCCATAATTTTTTTCGGGGCCACCTGAGCGTCCGTCATGTCACGAACAATTTTCTTAGATGAAGAGCTGAGGCCGCTCAACTGGCTATGACCCTCAGGATACACAGCAAATGCATGGTTATGGTAGCCTTTCTCTTCATTGCTACATCTACAGATCCTCCAGTATGGAGCGCCGGACACCTTTTTTACTTTGATCTCAAAATTGCAGCCGCACTTATTCGTTTTTGTCCTTCTAGAATTTCCGCCTGTGCCTCTGTACCATTCGCCTCTATGGCACTTCAAAAGTCTGACCGTTTTCTTTTTGTGGCTCGAAATTATTAATAGGAAACCATTCAGCATTGCTTGGTGTTTTGCAGCTTCAATAGCCTCATGAGCACTATTATATAATGTACATGTATCGAAACGCAGACTGTAATCAACACCATCTCCTCCAAAATCTTCCCATGACTCCTGCTATATAGTACAATATTTATATTTTTAGAACATGTTAAATTAAGATAATTAATTCTACCATGTAACATAATAATTTGTAACTCGTAACATGATATTATCTAACGTTCAATTTATATAATTTGTAACTCCTAACACGATCACGATAATATTTAACGTCCAATTTATATTATAATAAACATGTAACACAATAATTTGTAACTCTTAACACGATACTATCTAACGTCAATTTATAACATAACTAAAACTAATATGTAATATAATAATTTCTAACTCGTAACACGATAATATCTAACGTCCAATTTATATTATAATCAACATGTAACATAATAATTTACAACTCCTAACACGATAAACGTCCAATTTATAGCATAATCAAGTCTATAATGTAACATAATAATTTATAAAATAATAATATAGTCCAATTTATAACATAACTATTTCGAATAAATAACATAATAATTTAAAAAAAAAAATTACGTCCGGCCGGCCGAACCGGACGGACCGGTTCCGACCGGCCGTCGTTGTCGGACGGCTTTTTAGCCGTCCGGCCGGCCGGTTCGGACATGGCCGGTCCGACCGGCCGTACTTTCCGGACAACTTTTAACTCGTCCGGACCGGCCGGTCGGACGGCTTCAAAATTGTCCGGTTCCGGCGGCTGGACGGGCTAAATTTTTCGGCGGCTGGATACCAAATTTTTCGTACCTCCGAATTTGACGACATTTCACCGTATACTTTCCTCTGAGATGTTTAGAAAAAATGAAAAGGACAAAATTGTCCAAAGGAGTGGTAACTAGTAAAATGGGGGACGTTGAATAGTAACACCAAAGTGTACCTTTCAATATATACTTTTAATTATATTAAAAAAGTGTATATAGTTTCCTTCCGAATTTAAATAGTCTCTTACATAAGATCAAGATTGTAATAATTGCGTTATCCGAGTCATTTCAATAATCTACCTTTTGACCTTTTGTTTGAATGTTCTTGAAAAGCATAAGCTACGAAAGGAAAATTTGTAATATTTATTTTATGATCCATTAAATTAACCCATACAACTGTTCTCTATATATACCCTTTTAACCCGCTACACATTAAATGCATATAGTTTTCTATCTCATTCTCTAGCTTTATCCTACACATAATGAGATCCTCCTTTGCAATATTCCTTCTATTTGTCGTCCTACTTGAAGTTGTAATAACTGGTTTGATCTCTATCTTTCCTCTCTTGCTTTGTTTATGTTTATGTTAGCTTCTAAATTTAGAGATTATATACCATGATATATCATTTCGAGAACTATGTATAGATCAAAAAATTATATATATATATATTCGATAATAGTTTCTTGCTTTGTTTATGTCTATGTTAGCTTCTAAATTTAGAGATTATATACCATGATGTTTCATTTCGAGAACTATGTATACATAGATAAAAAAATCAATAATAGATTTCGCTATTCGGTAATAATGCACATGCACATTATGAATTCTTTCGACTGCATATGTTAATATAATAGTATTAACATATCATGTTAATACTATGAATTTCAGGTCCATATCATGTGATGGGCATTGAAGCATCTCGTCGTCGGCGCAGAGGGAAGAAGAAACCAGCTTCATCTACATCAGACTGTATCTCTGGAGGCAGTCCCTATATCCATGGGTGTCCATGCACTATAGGGAAACAATGTCCTTGCAATCCATCCCGTAACTGTACCTAAGAATCGTGATCCTAGCCAATGTGGAAATGGAAAACCTGCAATGTATTTGTGTGAGGAAACTAAGATAAGAAGAAATAAAAACTTGTACTACAAGTCTACAATAAGTCTCATCAATTGACAGAAAATAATGTTAATTTCTTTCCTTCTTTTTTCGTTCCTTTTTCCCTTTTGCCCGTTGTTAATAAAAGAAATAAATTTATACTGAAAATACCGGAATTATCTTTTCTTTTTATTTATTTCTTTATCTATGTATGTATTGAGCTGGAGACAACGAAAATGTGTGTTTTGGTATACATATTTTGGAACAGAGCTAAGCCCAGGCAGTCGACCCGTAATCATCGAGCTTACGACTTCATGGTCCTTAGCAGTTAGTTCTAACAGACTTTTCGGTTGTTTTGGGAATGGAAAATATGCACTTTCGTCTTTTATTTGTTTCTAGTTTAGGTGTGGCACACCATCATTTTTTTTGGCAATTTTAGTCTAAATCGAGATTTCGATGCTCATTTTTGCCGAAAAAATTGATGCGGTGTCCAGTCGGATCCCATTTATTATTTCCCAGCGTGATGTGGCACCAGACATGTCCAATTGTTCGACACACTGATTTGTCGTTGATTGAGAGCCATAATCTCATGGGAGGGCCCTCCAATTTGTCGTTGATTGAGAGCCATAATCTCATGACTACTACGTATGGTGAATGCCATGGAAGCTGAAAATGCAAAATTGAAGCAGAGCATTAAAATGATGAAGAGAATATGCATTTTGATGGCTTTGTCTTTTGTTGTTTTCCAGCTTCTGTACCCCTGTTTCAGTTGAGTTGAAACGGTGCCATGATTAGTGTAATGGACTTGAATATTTGTCTGGATTTTTAGTTCGTTATGTACTTTTGTTGTTGTGCTTATGTTAAGCAGAATGATCTTGTTAAAAAGTATGACTTGTAGTGCTTGATTTATGTTAAACCTTCAACTACTGTAACTGTATTCCTACTTTTGTTTGAATTGATTTATGGGAGTTGTCTATTCTGTTCTTAATTCTGGAATATAATACCACATTCAAAATAAAGTTATTATCACACTTCTGTAATTTTGGCAATGTACAAAAACATCCAAGATAACCTGAGGTGTGATCATGGGGACCCCTTTGAAATGTTGGTTGACCTTGATTAAATCAATTACGCAATTACAGTCTCTATATAATATCTACAAATATGGTAAAGATATGATCATACACTAACACGGACGTATGGCCCGACCCGCTTGAGTTCAGGCCCGACTAAACGCATAAATTGTTGAACGACTAAAGAAATAACAACGTATGTATACACTTCAAAGACCAAATGAGTTTGAAGAATTTGTTTACTCGCAGTAAATTTCAAGTGAAATCATATTACATAAGCAATACAAGAAGAACAAGACACAGAGTAGGTAAAATAACACGAAAATCCACTTTCAGTGGATAAACACACGAGGCCTCTGTTTTAGCCCTTATTCCCGTAGACAGGGAATCACTTTCAAGGGTACTTTCTTGCGCAAGGTCAAGCCCACCATTTCCCTCATGTCCACCTCGTCAGGCCCAAGCCCATCCGCAAGCTTCCAGTCAAACGTCTGCAGCAAACTAGCCAGGCTCAGGCCCACCATCTTGTGGCCCAAAGTCATGCCCAAGCAGCTCCTTCGGCCCGAACCAAACGGAATCATCTGAAAATGCTGGCCCTTGAACTCCACATCGCACTCCAAAAACCTCTCCGGTTTAAAGGACAACGGGTCGGGCCAAGCTTCCGGGTCCCTATGAATAGCCCACGCATTAACAAGTAGTTGTGTGTTTTTAGGCACAAAGTAGCCCATTAGCTCCGTATCCTCCATTGAGTTCCTCGGAAGCAACATTTGTAGAGCAGGGTGTAATCGTAATATTTCCTTTACCGTTGCCTGCAAATAGGGCATTCGGGTCAAGTCATCCTCTTGGACTCGACGGGTAGGCCCCACGACCCGGTCAATCTCGTCTTGGATCTTTTTCATCGTGTTCGGGTGGCGGAGTAACTCCGCCATTCCCCACTCGATGGTGGTGCTCGTCGTCTCTGTTCCCGCGAAAAACATTTCCTGAAGGTAATGGTTACGAATCGCGTCATATAATAGTGAAAAAGAAAAAAGGAATATATATTTATTTATTTACCAGAATTACAATTGTGATGTTCTTAGCTGAAAGCTTGTCGAGCCCATCCTCGTCGACTTCACCTTCGTCAAGCAACGCGTCTAACAAATCTTTCCTTTCCTTTCTGAGTCCCGATTCCCTCTCCCGAATCCTATCCTCCACAATCCCGGAAGCAAACGCTATCAACCTTCCCAAATACTTGGCCGTGTTCCTCCTAATCCCTTGCGGATCCATCCATTTCAAAAAGGGGAAAAAATCGGCCATGTTAGGCTTTCCTAACCACTCCAAAAACATCAAAAAGTTGTCGAAAAAATCACTCTCCTCGTCGAGCTTCTTCCCCATAACGTCCCCGGACAGCACAATATTCCCAACGGTATTAAAAGCCGAGACGAAAAGGAACCGATCCAGTTGAACCTCTCCCGACGACCTATTCTCCTTAGATTTCGCCACGTGGCGCTCAATCCACTCGATCATTTCGTCCACGCCTTTTTGCCTAACGGAAGCCGTCTCGTTTACCTTCTTCTGGACGAGAAATTGCACGGTGCAAATACGGCTCACTTTTCGCCAGTAGTCGCCGTAGGCCCCCATGGCGACGGATCCACGATTGTACCCTAAGGCCGTTAGCGAGTCGGGCGCTTTCCGGTCGGCAAATTGGAGATCAAGTTTTTTGAAGAGCTCGGCGGCTGCTTCGGATGATTGTACCACGACGGTGTTGATGGAGCCGAGCCTGAGGTGAATGAGCGGGCCGTAACGGGCCTGGAGCTTGTGGAATGTCTGGTGGGGAATCTCGCCGAGATCAAAGATGTTGCCCAATAACGGCCAGCCCGGCGGGCCTGGTGGATGGGATTTTGAGGAGTTTTTGTTCAAGTTGATAAAAAGCTTGACAAAAATGATTAATAAGAGCAGGGTAGCTAAACAGGGGAGTAAACTGAATCTGCAGTCCATTTTTCTTTTTTTCTTTTTTTTTTTTCTTATTATTATTTCTTGAATTATGGCTCTTTAAGGATTAGTTTTCTAATTTTTTCCAAAGGAGTGGTGATTTCTATTTCGATATATAAGAATTTATTTAAATGAACTAGATGTCTAGCATGTAGCAATTATACAGCATCAGCGTGCAGGCAATCAAAAGTTATGATTAGATGTTGAATGTTGAATTTAAACAATTTTTCTCACATGTGACATAATTAATTGTTAGGTGTCAAAATAATCTAACCTAATGGTCCTAATTGCTCTCAAATCAAATCATTTGAATCAATTGATTTAGTAAAAGGGCATACTTCTTTTGTTTTTAGCATAATTCTTTCAATTTGTTTTGAAAAATTCTCTCGTTGAGAGCTCCCGATTTCTGATCTTCATCTTTTATAGTTTACTATCTCAGTGTTGATCGACAGTGGTTATCAAAAGTATATTTGTGGTGCTGTTACAATTAGATTCAAATAATTGTGCCCTGTAACCTAATTTGAAGGAAATGGAGGACAATCCTTCAGAAATTAGCAAAGACGGAGACCTAAATGATGAGGTGGTGAGGAAATTGTTCGATTTCTCTCTCTTGGCGAAGGAAGCGGGTGAAATAGAGATTAAACCGGACGATGTCAGAGTCAGTGAGGAGGAATGCGGTCGTAGTCTCTTTGGCAAAATTGTCGGTGATCGGGCAGCTAGTCTTTTAGGGATAAAACGAGCCATGACAATCATATGAAAAATTAAGCAGCCAATGGGAGTCAAAGAGATAAGTTCTAACTTCTTCCAATTTATTTTTAGCTCCATTGAAGATATGAGGAAAGTGGCTTCGGGTCATAACTGGCTTTATCAAAATCAGTATTTAGTTCTCAAAAAATGATTTCCAGGTCTGGTTAGAAATCATAGTGCTTTCGACGAGATAAAATTATGGGTTCAAATTCTAAATGCCCATATTAACTGGATGAATACAGATGTTGGAATCAATATAAGACAGATATTCAAAGGGGTTAAGAATGTGACTGCCTGTAAAACATGTGGGAAAGTGGGAAGTTTCATTAAAATATTGGCGGTGGTGAACACATTCCTCGCTGCACCACGGTTAAATTGGGAGATCAACGAGTTAGGGTAGCATTCAGGTATGAAAGACTGGTTAATCTGTGTTATTACTGTGGCAAATTGGGACACCTAGACAGAAATTGTGGTAGAAGATTGGAAGATATTGAGAAAAACCAAGTGGCAGAGGGGCAAATTGGGGAGTGGTTAAAGGCATCGGAGACATTCCCGAGAGGTAGGAGTAGTTATGCTAGTAGTTCAGGGGTAAAGTTGAACCAGTCTACAACGAAAACCTACTCAAGGGACCGGCTCTGCCTCCACCAGTGAAGAAAAGCTCCTTGATTAGTCGACAAAAGTGTGTATTTTATATATTTATTAGCGTATTTTTATATGCTTAATTTTATCGCACTTATTGTTTGTCGACTTATTTATTTATTAGATGAATTTATGTACTATGATATATTTATTGTTTATTTTCAGGATATTGGAGGATTTTAATTGGTGGCGATTGTTCAATCTAAATTCGGGCCCAGTTGTTAAAGAATTAAATCAAATGCCCAACATGCACGTGGGCTGCGGACGAGAGTGAGCTTGGAAGATGGAAGAGACTTAGTGGGCCAATAAGTCCAATGTCATGGAATTATTTGGAGTAGCAATTAGTTTTGAATACTCACGCACGCATACCTAGGAGGAAATATATTGGGAATTCACGCAAGAGCAAAACATGACGCTGACTTGGAGCAGGGAAAACAGAATAAAAGCCGCCACACAGAAAGGATTATTCACGCACAGAATTATTTGCAAACAGAGAACGGAGTAGAGCACATACGCGAGGAACCCGACAATACGCGGAGGGAAGCCGCACCCGTACACGAGGGAGATAATTAATCTCTCTCTTTTATCTATTATTTATTTTTATTTATTATGTTAGACTAGGTTTTTATTTCTAGTTCCGGTGATGTTGAACCTTACGACTTGATGATGTTTGATTGATTTTCTTGGTTGATTATTGAGTTATCTTTTTGGGATTGCTTGTGTTATTTTGAATAATTCACCATGATGTGTTAGTCTTGTTTAGATTGATCACCTAGATTAGGCTTTTCATATCTACATCTGAATTAGACCTGCAATCCGTAATTGTTGTTGTGTTTAATTCATAAGAGGTAACCGGAAGATGGTAACTACCGGGGATAACACGGCCTAATTAAGTGAACGAACGCGGTTGAGTTCACTAATTAGTCTAGCCTATTTTTCTAAATCGTAAAGCGGCTAATTGTATTAAATCTTGAAAACGTTTTTCTGGACTGTACAGGAAGTCAGGTTTAATCGTAGAGCGTCTCGCGGTTAAATTAAAAATAAGGAAAAATTCGGGTAACTGACCGTGTCGTTGCCTAGGGCTAGTAATTTCATAAGATAGCGAGATTTGGTACCAGAATTGATTAGACGAGTCAGTCGAGGGTGTAGACGGAACCGTGAACTAGAAGCTTTCTCTTATTTTATTTATTTTTATTTTTATTTTCTTGTTTAGATTTTATTTATTTCATTAGATTTTTAGGTAGTTTAGTTATTAAATCAAAACCCCCCCATTTATCGCTTTTTATAATTTCAATTAATACGAGAAAATTCACGATTTGATTCACACTCCTCGTGGGATCGACCCTTGCTCGCCACTACTACTAGTTAGTAGGGGTTAGTTGAGGAAAAATATAAATATTAATTTTGCCGCGTTGCGACGCGCGGTCAAATTTTGGCGCCGTTGCCGGGGAGTGGCGTTATTGAATTGTGATTTTTTTTTTAGTACTAATTGAAGTTTAATTTTTTAGGATTTTATTTTTATCATCTTTTATTCCTCTTTTACTTGTTTTATTTCTTTTATTTTCTCGCAGAATACTGGGAGACCCCGTACTCTGCTTGACAGATTAGTTCGCCCTCATACTCTTGGGAGTAACTTGAGATTTGGCGTTTTTGATCGAGCTTGGAGCAACTTGTGGAGATGGCAGCCTATTATCACGACTTTTATACCCACCGTGAACCTTACCAGTATGAGAGGGAGATACGAGGCTCGTGGATTGGAGATAGAGGCGTAAGAGGACCTAATGGCTGGCGAAGGTACGAGCAAGACTACATGTATCCCGAGGAGAACGAGTACGGCTTGAGAGAGCACTCGAACTCTTTCCATGGGTACTCTGAGCCACCGATTGCGCGAGATCCTAGCCCATCTCTAGAGGATATGGTGAAGGCACTAGAGGCTCACACGTTGAGATTTCTGCAAGAACACTGCGAGCCATTAATTGAGAGAGATCCTGGTCCGTCGCTCGAGGAGATGATGAAGGAGTTGACGGCTAACACTCTTAACTTTCAGCAAAGTGTTGAGGCGAGCATCAGGAACCAAGAGGCGATCATCAAGAACCAAGAGGCGAGCATCGAGAACCATGGACTGCGCATCCGAAATTTGCAAGGCCAAATTGGCCAATTGGTGGAACAAATGGACCGACTAGTGTATCGGCTGGAAACGAGTCCAATGAGTTCAAGCGTCATCCATTCATACAGCGAGGACCTCGGGGAACTTGAAGAGTGCACACACGAGCCAGAGAACCAGAAAATCACGATTATCGAGAAGAATGAGAGCGAAAAAGAGAACCAAGTTGCAGAATATGGGGTTGAGCAGCAGAATACAGGGGTACCCCATACTCGACCTGCTGTAGCAAAAAAGCGTACCGTTCTTCCCGCTCTTGTGCCGATAGAAGCTGAACCGTGTCCTATGTATTCTAATATGAAGTGGGTACTGAGCAAGGATGCACTGAAGCATGTCTTGGGCCTTAATATCCAGCCTCTTAAAACGATCGAACAAAACATAAGGTGTAAATGGGAACTTGATGAGATGGTGACCGCGAGCGAGCGCCGGCTGCTACACATTCATGGGGAATTAGCGTCATGGAGGAAAGATCCGGTGAAGCACCCAACATCGAGGATAGGGGATGACGTCAAACATGGGGTGGTGAGATTGATGCCTCCCTTGAGGCCATCTCCGAAGCCGCCATGGATCCTTTGATGAAAAGGAGCAATAAGTCGGGCCAACGACAATAAAAAGAGGCGCTTGTTGGGAGGCAACCCAATGGTGTGTATGGTTCGACGACTTCTTCTACATTGACTAAGGTGAACTCGTTTCTTTTACCTCCGTTTGTATTTCTTTTGTGTTTATTTGAGTGTCGATGATATATGCAAACTCTAAGTTTGGGGAGATGGTTTATTGGTGAGCATTCATGTTTTATTATGTCATTATATTTTTGCCCCTTAGAGTTTGAGTCTTAGATTATATTGCATGATATTTGCTTGTCGTGTGTGAGCGTGAGATTACATGTACGTGGAATTTTGCGATGATGACATGAGAGTCGGATTGGATTTATCGTGCTAGTTTAAATGGCTTGAGTTGATTTTATTTGGTTAAATTCTTAAGGTGTTTTTATTTTGGGGACAAAGGCATGATTGTTGATATTTTTGTGATTATTTGTAGTGAGTTGGTTTTGAGGCGATTTGTATTGTTGACATGTGCTTGTGATTGCTTTAATCAATGTTGATTAAGTTTGGGGACTCGAAGTTGAAAGCTGGGGTTTTTATGTCTCATAGTCGAAAAAAAAAATAAAAGCCGTTTGGCACAAAAAAAAAAGAAAATAAAAAGAAAAAAAATACATGGGCTGCAACAGCTGCCAACCTGTGGGGGCTCTAGTGTATAATTCCAATAATTTCCGTATCTAGACGAGCACGAAAGGCTAAAACCCACGGGTTGTGACGGAGCTGCCGTTCCCAACAAAAAAAGAAAAAAAAAGAAAAAAAAAGAGAGAGAAAAAAAAGAGAGAAATGGAGAATGAGACGTTTAGACTTTGGCTAGAAACGGAAGGAAACTTGACTTGTTAGCAAAGAGAGGGGTGTCATGAGTTGCATTGATCGGTGCATTCGTTATAGAGATTGACAAACTATGGTGGTCACTTGAATTGATACTTGATATGTTGGAGTTCTTAGAATGATTTCATCTTGAGTCCGAATATATTGATTTGAGTTGTTTGAACTATGCACTTATGTGAGAATTGTGAGGCCCTGAGTAAAGTTCCACGTACTTATCTTTTGATCCATCTATGTGCTTTTAGTTCTAAGTTGCTTGGGACAAGCAATGATTTAAGTTTGGGGAGA